AGTGCCACGCTGCCGACGGTTCTGGTTTCTGGGTGGCTAGGGGTTTAGTCTAGGCGGTTGAGGGCTTCGCGTCCTGAGTCCCACGATTGCGTCACCGGCCCTTTGGGATCCTTTGGGGCATCCGTCAGTGCATACCAGTGCCTTGGGGTCCAGCGTCGGGTGCAGGAGCTGGTCGATCAGATCAGGCTTCAGGCGCATGAGAGCCTGCGATTTGCTGATCAGCCCTTCGGAGGCCATGTCCACCGCAATCTGCAAGGCTGCGTGGGCCGTCCGCTTCCCCGTGCGGGTCTGGAGCATGTACAGCTTGCCTCACGAAGGTTGTCAGGAACCAACCCTGCGGGAAACCGGGAAAAGCTCGGGATCCTGCCTTGCTGGATGGTAAACCTCAGCTGCAACACTGTGCGTCCACTTTCTGCAGAAGTTGATGCAGGGAACCCTCTAAACGCACAGCAGGCGCTCCACCTTCACTCCACTTTAAACAATTTGCTAAGAGCCGAGAAGCTCGATGTCCTGCATGTCCGTGTAATGGTTCTCCAGCTGGTGGCGAACTTTCTCCAACTCTTGGAATATGCTCGGCATGACCTCCTCCAACGATGGCAAGTCGCTGCCGTGCGACTTGCGAGCTTTGATCGTCAGCTCTTGGGGCGTCCGGATGCCCGCCACGACATCCTTTCACGGGCGGACACAGTCACAAGGCGGGAAGGCACGGAAAGGCATGGAAAGGCGCATGCGCGGAGGACCCGGACCTCGCCCTGAGCATTCACCAGGAACTCTCCATAGAAATCCTACAAGGCCATTCTTGTGAAGCTTTCAAGGACACACCGCCTCACATGCTTCATCACGTTTCACTAGCTGGACAGGATTTCAGAAGCTCGGCATATCACGACGATACTGTACCAACCCCCGAAAGACCTTGGCACCGTTGGAGGGGTTGCGCGTGAAGGCGACTCCCGTGGCGCAGTCGTTGCCCATGTTGCCAAAAACCATCGCCTGAACGGTTTCAGGATGACACGAAGCCACTCGCTCGTCTTCTCAAGTGAGAAGGACAGGCCTGAACGTTCACAGCCGTGCCCCACTCCTGACAGCAATCTGGCAGGGCCCGGGAGTGCGAAAGAAGCGCAAGCTCTGAAGGGGTCCTCGGGAATGTCGTGCAGCTTCCGGTAGGTCTTGGCCCTCTGGTTCATCCAGGAACCGAAGACGGCGCCCACGGCACCCCAGAGTTGCTGATGCGGCTCCTAGCCGGTCAAACTCTCGCATTTCGCCATATTCCGTGTGCAAGGGGACCTAATGGACGTCTGCTCCATCGGACTTGGCAGCTTGCTGCATCGATCGTGTTGAGGGACCACTATCCGCTCTCTCCTCGGGGAACTCCTCCCCGAGCTCCAGGTAGACACAGGCCTTGAATGATCACCGCGTAATCAAGAAACTTTGGAGGCACACAGCGCAGTGCAAGGCCTTGTAGTTTTTGACCAACTGCTCCAGGTCTTCTGGCAGGAGCTCGTGATCTTGCTTCACCTCAGTTCTACCCAAGCTCACCTCCGACATCCAAACCGCTCGCGCGTGTGTTTGCATGCGTGGGCGAGAGTTCTTCATGGTTCTTCCGAGCGACGCCTCGCTTGGCCTTGGCCCTTTCCAGAAGCTTCTCAAAGTTGCCAAGCTCGATACCCAGCACCACATCTCAGGGACATGCTCAGAGGAAACAGAACGCTCATTCTTCAACATGCAGCACTGATCACTGCTCAGCACTGGCATGAACAGCGGCAGTGGCACTGCCCTCCTGAGTACATCTGGACGAAGCGCCGGTAGCTGTCGAATGCAAAGCGTCGGTCTCCCGACTGCTTGGCCAGCGCCTGCATCGCTCTTCCGGAAATAAGCTGAGCCCCGTTTCCGAAAGTCCCGAAGAAGGCGGAGGCAGGAAGCACAGAGAGGCGACCCAGGCACTCAACTCCCCAAAAGCTCCCTTTTTCTGCCCTTCTCGCTAGCTACTTTTCCCCGCCTCCACAGTCGTGTTGTTCAGGCCGAGGTTAAGCACCTGGAGAAGTGCTGCTGGACAAACGGCTCCGCTGCTGGCCCACAACCCAAAGCCGCCAAGCCACGGTGTCCATCATGCCAGGCATGGAGGCCCGAGCACCCGAGCGGACCGAAACCAGCAGGGGATTCGTGGCATCCCCGAATTTCCGCCCGGTCCTGCGGTCACATGAGTGCACACGCGTGCGCTTCGGTAGGGCCATCGGGAAGTGCTGGAGCATGCTCAAGCCTTTTCCGGCCTTGTCTCAACCAGAGCTAATGCCTTCGACACCTGCTCCTTGAGTTCTGCAGGATACTGACCTCGATCGCTGCTCAGTGTCTCTCGTCTTCTCTATGCTAACCCGATGTGCACCCTGCCCTTCCCCGCCGCTTCTCTGGTTGAACGCCATCGCTTCTGCCTTTCTCGATGAGTTTACAGTCAAGGCACAGTCATTCTGGTAGTAGTGCGTGCAGACCTTCGACAACGATAGAGCACTCCCACTTCAGACGCAGCCGAAACCAACCTCCCTTGGCGGCCTCCGTGGTCAGGGTGAAGCCAGGCGGAACAGGAAGCCCAATGGAGGCCATCTGGCGCAGCAGGAGCTGGCTGCGACAGTTTTGGGATTTGGCGAGAAGCTTGGCAGTCGCTGCTCTCTGCCTTTTGCTTTGGCATGTTCGAGTTCATCACAACTGTGGGATATCCGTTGATACAACGAGATACAATGATTCCTTGCCCGTGGCGCCACCGACGCTGATTGCGGCATGGCCTCAGCGAGATTGGCACCCTTGCCGCCCAAGAGGTTCCTCAGAAAATTCAGAAAAGCGATGGACAAGGGCGATCTGGGCCCGACGGGAACGGACGGAGCGGCCAAACGAAGATGCGCATGTCATCACGGGAGCTTCCGTATCCCAGAGGCCCATCGGGCCCAGCATGTGTGTGCTGTTTCTGCTGCTTACTTCTTGCAGACCAAGTTTCTTCATCTCGGCCCTGCCATCCGCGTTGCCAGCGCCGAAGTTGTAGACCCAGGTCATGGCGGGCAAGCAGCGCGGCACGCGAGCGGAAGCTGACAGAGCTGAAAGCCAAATGCTTGAGCCAAAATCGGTTTTGACCATGTCCAGAATGCGAATTTCACGGCATGCGCTTGCGTACGAGGAATGCCTGTGGAGATCGCTGAGAAGAGCATGGCCGCATCACTGTGGAGGTTGGCGGCACCATAGTTGATGCCGTGGAGGTTGGCGGCACCATAGTTGATGTCAAGGACAACAATCGAAACTGACAAACTCGGTCTGACGTGTCTACGTGCTGGTTAGCATAAGCCTTACCCGTATGATGCAGCGATGTCCTCTAGACCCACATTCAACAACCATGCGCACAGCTTTTCACCGCACGTCGGCGAGCACGTTGGCGGCATCGTGCGGTGCACTATTGGGGGCCAGAGGATGCCAGCCGAGAGGGCCTCAGCAACTGAGACTACGAGCACAAAAGTCACAAAAGCCTGCGCGCCAGCACGAAGCAGCAAAAGATAGTCAAAAGAAATACGCAACTCGCATGACGTGCTCTTCCTCGGGGTCCCGAAAGCCTCCCCTTCTTTATGAATCATTAGTAGAACAAGAACATGGTACGGTGCAAATGCATGCAAGAAGAGAGCAACATCATCGAGTTGCGATAGCAGCTGTGCCCAAAATCTGCTCGGTCGCACGCCTTGTCCAAAATCATCTGTTCAATAGCTTGCTTTTGCTACGCGGTTTGTGCGGGAGTGTGTGAGCAGGGCTCAGGAAGAAATGGTTCAAATACGAGCTGACGGGGGGGGGGGGGGGGAGGGAGAAGTAAAGGGAAAAGGAAAGAGGTGGAGAGGTGCAAGTAGAGAAGAGGGAGAGAGAGAGAACATGATTGAGGAGCTCTTTCCCCTGTAGTTTGGAGTGGGGTCTAGGCACAAGGGAGAGGAGTTGACGTCTGAGAGTGTCCGGTAGCATGAGGGGGGGAACAATACAAAGTTGGCATGTCCGTAGTGCTCCAAAACTGTTGAAACTACGGCCACGGCGCATGGCACAGCGTCCGGCACGGCAACGATCATCCTTGCATGCGCATTTCTGCAGAGGTGGTTAAGTTCACCCCCTGAGTCTCGGACTGGTTTTCCAGTGGGCATAGAGCCGGGATGGATCATCCTGGCAACAAGCAGACAATGACGCCATGCAATCCTCACAAGAACCCAAAGAGCTGCATGGCAGAAGCTGCCTTGCTCTTGGCCTCCTCATCAGAGTTGGGATCCTGCTGCATAAGAGCTGTCGCCGTGCCCGATCGCCAGAATCCAAGCGCGCGCCTCTCCACGCAGTCGTCGCTGCAGTCTCTTCTCGGCTTGCTTGAGCCGCTCTTTTTCCTCAGCAGTGATCAGATTACCAATTCGCTGGACGCACGGCCTCTGCGACAGGTCTGCTCTGCTTTCTGTGCTGTCGTGCTACATACCTCTGAGGTCCAGTCCGGCACAAAGGATGCTGAGGTCGGAGCTCCCCGCCTTCAGCAAAGCTGTGCTTTTGAGAATACCCGAGCATGATCACGAGCGTAAGGCGGCCGCTCCCGAGCTGTCTTGCCTCCAGAACAGAGGGAGTGAGACAGAGAGAGGGCGCGAGAGAAAGCGCCAGAGAGAAAGAGAGCGAGAGTGAGACGAGAGCGAGAGCGAGAGTCAGCGAGAGCGAGGGCGAGAGAGAGAGAGCGAGAGAGAGAGAGAGAGCGAGAGCGAGAGCGAGAGCGAGAGCGAGAGCGAGAGCGAGAGCGAGAGCGAGAGAGGAAATTTACCCTCTTCGGGTTCATGCAGCCCTAGACTTCCAGGAGGAAAAGGGGTACAAGCAACGGAAAAGCCACTGAAACAAGGATCTTGTCTTGAGCCACTCTAGACCCAAGCCTCAAAGCTAAGGTTCAGCAAAAACTGCCACAGTCCTCTAGCTATTGTAGCCATCCTGAGTGAAGGGTTAGTAGCTAAGAGACTCAGATCATTTCACATAGCGGAAGCACGGTCATCCTCAAGATTGAGGGCTCCAAAGCAGAAGCCCATGCCACCTTGGACAGCGTTGTACAGCTCCCCATACAGGGCACGCGTCGTGGATTGCGCCTGCCTGCCGAATGTTAAGCAAACGAGCGCATGTTTCGCGTTTGCACAGACTCGGCAATCTTTAGGAGCGCATGATGACGCGGCAGGCCACCCCTGTGCGAACGCTGTGGAACTTTGACGGCCTCTTGAGCTTGGCATCATCACCCACTGTATGGTCCTGAAAGCGGCTACGAAGCAAAAGACACCACATGAGATTGAAGGGCTTTGCGATCCGTCCTGAATGGCTCTACGCATCTCAGTGACGCCCACTTCCGTCGCCTGTACTCTCTCAGGAGCGCTTGAATTCAGGTTCTCTGTGGAAATGTAAAGAGCTCACGAGGTGAGCGGGCCACTGCGGCTTACAAGCAAGTTCAACTAAACAAACGTCGTAGCTGTATTCTGAACGAACAATTCTGTTCTGGCACACGAGACTTCATAAAAATACTTAGTTGGCCTCAAAGCCCCATCGCTCCAGCACAGGCTTCTGCACCGGCAGAGCCACCTCAAGTAGATCGTCATGCCATGCTCAAGGTTGCAGACAGGACAGGACTTGCCTTGTTCAGGTAGCGAACAAACTCGTCTTGGTCATTCACATCCTGAGGCCAGAACTGTAGCGTGGTGAAAACCCCTTGGACACATCGTGAAAACCCATTTGACACGTCGTTGCTGTAAGACCACAGCCCGAGCAAGCTTCCGCACCTGGCTGGTTGGCAGCATGCTTCGGATATCTTCAGATGTCCTTCAGAAGTAGACCCCTACGACCACACCAAGCTTGTGCAGCTTGGGTAAGGCAATGGACACAGTGGCCCAACTGATACCACCTGGTACCACCTGGCCAGGCCACACCGGTGGCCGGTCCACAGCGGGGAGCCGATATTTGCTTCGCCCACCCAGACTGCCCGGACCCATCCCGCATGGGCACTCTGGCATTCCATCATATTTGTTGCACTCATTGCGCTTGGCAGGCTCAACCAGTCGAATGTCAGCAGATATTGCCTTTTGATCTTGGTTCAGACTGTGCATCCTACAGCTACAGGCCTTACCAAACACCTTCTTCGGCACATCTCAGTAGTTGGTTCGTTTGGCAGAACTCTGCCAACACGACTCCCCAACCAGGGCGTGCAACATCACACGGAATGACAACATCCTGCAGGTATTTGCAGATTGCGGTTCCAAGATGGGCAAGCAGTACAGCAAGCATAGTTCTCTTGATCCATGAAAAAAGTGCGCGCGAGCGCGCGTGCAAAAAGAGCCCCCCGCCGCCCATCCTCCCACCCGTTTCTCACAAGCGCAGGTTTTGCTCACGCATCGATGCGCATCCTCGCGCATCCTCACGCATGTCGCTCCAATCACGCTGGGGCAGCCTGCTCTCGGAAGCTGGGCTCGGAGTAGGCAAGCTCAAGCTCCTCTCAAGCGATTCTTGAGATGCTCGAGCATTCGTGCGACACTAAAACTGAAAAGCCATCATCGACTCATGGAGTTTAATGTCCTTGAGGAGCTCCTCAGTGCCATCATGCGTGAGCCTGAGCACATGTGGCGCATGCAGCACCTCTCACAACGACTCACGGAGAAGTAACATGGTACCCGCTTTTGCTCAAAACCTCTACAAAGTCATGTTTGGAACCACGAAATGTTTGAGGGGTCTACAGTCAAACTTTCTGTCGAAAGAATACTTCCTGACCAGCTTCGCCTGCGGAGGTGGGGGGGACACAAGAAGGGCATTACTAGGCATTACATAAGTTACTTCCAACGCTACCTCCAAGCGGCTGGCAACAACGACAAGCTTAGAGCACTGACACGATCAATTTTGCAGTGATCTCTGCCAGGTTGCGGCTGATTGTGAGTTTTGGCAGGTGCTTTGGGGCTTGGTGGAGGCAGGCTGTCCAACAATCGAGAAACGGGTGATGTTTTCTTTGTCTGATCGACTGCGAAATGCATTCAGCATACTTCAATGCAATCAGTGCAGGCACATGTGGACGACTATGGGCATTCAGGGCATTCATTGTCCATTCTTCGTTTCCACTGCGAACTAGACGATTCTACACCGGACACGCGTCGCCTACGAACAAGTGCCCCGGCGAGAACTGAGTCTCAGGCAGCACAGGAGCATGCTTGTTGAACGTTGTCTAAGTCCGGAAGGATTAGAATGGGTCGTACATAGAAGGTTACAGTATCTGTAGTTGTGACGGAACGCAACAGGGAGACTCACCACATCTGTTTAGACGCCTAGAAGTGGCTCGCTTCGGAGGATTGATTCTTGGTTACGCTGGGCAAGTTCTGCACTGAAGCTCCTACGACCTTTCCATTGTGGGATTCAAGGTGGTCCAGCCAAGTCGAGGCTTCCAGTCGGCAGGCAAGATAACTTGAGGCGATGTGGGTCAATGTGGCTCGGGAGTTGTGGCTTCGGCTGGTTGGGCTCGATGTGTGCCAACGTGTGAATGCCACATGCGCAGGTAATCCGAGACTGCCGCCGCTTCCTTGTCGCATCGTCCACGACCGCATTTGCAGCAGGGCCCAGGACATCCGGGGAATCTGTCAAGGCCTGGCTCACGCATCTCAGGAACACATTCTGGGAGTGTACCATGTGCGTGTACATGGGCTGTAACTATAGAGTACATTGGAAAGGAATACAAAGGACGCATGCCAGGAAGGTCTGTACCATCCTCAGGGTTCATCGTGCATGCCGCATGGTCCTCCCCACTGTCCCCTTTCCGGGTCTTCCAGGGCGTGTTGCGCCTACCGCCTATCGCACACATGCACCGCAACAGCAAGCCGGGACACAGTGGGATCAAAGCAAAGCCAGGCCTGTTGAGGCTTCATCGGGGAAGGTGCAACAGAGCGCTCCTGCGCCACTGCCACTAAAGGTTTCGCTGACACACTAGCAACGCACTAACGACATGCCGGAAGCCCGATAACACGACCTTTGGAACGGGCTCCTCACTGAACAGACCCTTCTGCAATCCCAACTTCAGCATCCGCTGCTGAGATGCCTCTCAGTGTTGCAAAAGGTAGCAGGGCACCTGCAGCCTGAAGTGCCCTCAGAACAGACTTAACCGACATGCTGAGTGCAACGAGACAAAAGCACTTCACTGTTCACTGGAGGTTTTCCATCAGGCCGCTGCGTGTTGACCTCGTTTGGCGTCTGACTCTGAAATGAAACCAGCGCATCTTGCGCCGATCGAATTTCCACCGGAAGCCCTTCAGGCAACGCACAGCAATGCTTCCGATTTCGGAGACACAGCTGTTCCGGTGTCTAGCCAGAGACATTAGCATGTGCGACCTACTTGCAAAGAGCATGCTGATGCTGCTCACTCCGCACTAACTCAACACTCATTGCCAGTCTGCTGCGGCGGTGCATTCGTCAAGTGAGTCATGTTTCCACATAGCTATTCTCTTTATGCAGCGGTGTTCTTCGTTGTTGCGCCAACTATTGTTCACGCGTCACCGTGCAGAAAGGCTGAGGCAACCAATGGCCTGCAAACGAGCTCTCTCCTTCTGGCGCTGCCTCTCGCCCGACTTGTCAATGTCCCGGCCCCAAACCTGAGGTCGCACATGTTGGCTACAGAAGATGATGTCACAAGGCACGCTGTACCTGTACAGATTCAACACCCTACAGTTGCTGCTAAGAAACAATCTCGTCGACCTAAGCTGGCTGGCAAAGGCAACTTCATTCAGCACGTTAGGAACAAATTCTGCTGCAACTAGATCTCCGCGAAATGCTGGTGGAATCTTTCTTGGTTTCGAGAAGGACCCCTCTCTGCTTCCTTCAATCTTACGACAAGAGTAGGAATTTTATCGGGATGATGAGGTCTGAAAATATATGCAACTAAATCCATATGGGAGGGGAGGGGGGAGGGGAGGGGAGGGGGAGGGGAGGGGGGAGGGGGAGGGGGGGGGGGAGGGGGAGGGGAGGGGAGGGGGGAGGGGGGGGGAGGGGGAGGGGGGGGGAGGGGAGGGGGGAGGGGAGGAGGGGGGGGAGGGGGGAGGGGAGGGGGAGGGGAGGGGGGAGGGGAGGGGGGGGGGAGGGGAGGGGGGAGGGGAGGGGGGAGGGGAGGGGTTTTCTTCATCTTCCGCTTGCGACTAGGTGCCCAGGGGAGGGGGGAGGGGAGAGGGGGGGGGGAGCGGGGCCCGTCTGCATGAGCTCCTGGCGGTCGGTCTCTAGCCTGGTGGCTCGTAGTAAGGGCTTGTGCTTCTGTCGGCAGCTGTTCTCTTGTGGGTTTTCTTCATCTTCCGCTTGCGACTAGGTGCCCAATGTGAGCATAGTTTCCCCAACAGGTCTCCCTCTCTCTCTCTCTCTCTCTCCACACGTTTTTTTTTTTAATCTCTCTCTCTCTCTCTGTTTATCTCTTTTTCTATTTCTTTCGTTCGTTCTTTCGTTCTTTCGTTCTTTCACGGGGCTTGAAGGCGAACCCCCCGCACCGTCCGGACGTCCCTCGTTTGGGGTGTTGAGTTTTTTTTTTCTCTTCTTCTTCTTCTTCTTCTTCTTCTTCTTCTTCTTCTTCTTCTTCTTCTTCTTCTTCTTCTGCCGGGCTTGAGGAGCAGGGAAGTTTACCCTACTCCCCGCGCACTGGGCGCGCCCTTGTGACGCGAAATCGAGTCGGCGTGACACAGAAAACACGGAGCAACGTTGGCTTAACTTTCCACGAGAGAGGCTCCCCCCCCCCCCCAATTAAAGGTTACAAAAACCTGTAAGATACGACAGTAGGATGTTCCAACTTTTTTTTTTCTCTCTCTCTCTCTCTCTCCCTCTCTCGCTCGCTCGCTCTCCCTTCCTGCTATACGGGCCTGCGACATCCCACAACCAGGAACAGATTGTCGACCTTCAGCTCGTTCCGGCACGCCGATGTACTTACGCCCAGCGGCGCCTGCGAGACTCTGCATCTTCAAAGCATGTGGCTTTAAGTATACCACACCATGCTACGTCCATGTGTCTCGCGGAGTTTCGCACAGACTGTGCGTGTGTGTCTGTCAGGCCGAAGCCGATAAGTTGAGTCTGCCAAGAGCCTCTCCAGTTTGCAGACTCGAGCGGTGCATCGGACTTGGCGGTAGTCTCATGACCAAATGCCACCTTATCCACTGTGCTAACCTTAGCATCGAGAACGTCAGAGCCCTTGCTGGGTCCACTTGCGACAGCAATCTTGGATAAACATGCCAGGACACGTGAGCCATGTTGCTGTGGCGCAAGCCTCCATCTCTGTCCGGGTGCCCGATGTACCGGCGCCCTGCTGCACCTGCTCTCGTCTCATGCTCTCAGCAAGCTCCGTAATCCGAAGTGTACGAACTTCCGTCTCAACTGCATCGGCCTTGAAACTGCGTGGACTGCAGGTGGTCTCGGATGCGTTCCGTAGAGCTCCCGAGCTCGTGGCCGAAGATAATCTGCCGAAAAGGCCGAAACGCACAAAACTCGAGCATTTCTTACATGACGAATCGTTCACGAATCGGCTGCCACCATCTTCTACAGGTCTGTTCCTGGCCTTGTCGACCTGCGAAAGCGTGGTGGTCAAGTCTGGCTTCAGCCCCTCCATCCGATCGACGTGACCAAGACTGTGAGCACCCGCCGCATCCTTCGTCTTCTGACAGAAGACAAAGACGTGGGATAGTACGGATGAAGCCACAGACATGCTGGGAAGACGCACTGAGCTATAGTAACTATAGTACTACCTGCGACATCCTGACATAACGCGTGATGTGAGGTAGCCTAATCATATTGCTTCACTCATGCCAGTCGTGGGTGCGTCCTTGAAGGCTTCCAACTGTAGGTGCTCCTTGAGTCTGTCCTCAATTTCATATGCTTGAATGCCTTCATGTACTACGAAAGCGAAGAGTGATGTACATGAAAAGCATTGAAAAACCGCATGTGCAAACCGACCTGGGCTTCAGCCAAGCCATGCCAAGCCAAGCAGCATCGGAGTTGCCCAGCTCGCGGCCTGGGTGACAGCACAACTGACCAGGACAAGGAGCTACAAAATGCTACAAGCATCCTCAGCTAGGAGCACGGCCCAGGACAACCTTGTCCACCCTGGACACTGCCTTCGCAGGATTGGCCTTGACACCCTCCTGGCGCGCCACATGACCAGTATACCTCAGCACACAATGCCAAGTCACGAGCACCATGTTGTTTGGGAAATCGAAGGCTGCAGAGCCACCTTCGACCAGCTGCGCCCTCAAAGACGGGCTCGTCAGCATACTCTGCAACCCGAATGTCCGAGCAGTCCATGTCACGGCCAAAGACTACCTTGCAAAACATGTTGCGATTTGCTATTCGGCATCAGCGTCGACTGGCTAAACATTTCCAACAGAAGTTGTGGGGCCTCGTCCACTTGAGAAGCATGGCCTGTCACTCTGGTGCGCAGGCCCTCTTTATGCGGCGTGGCTCCCAGTCGTCTCTTGCCAGCAGCACCAAGGTGTTCGGCGACGTCTGGGAGTGCACGTAACAGCATGTGACCGATCAAGATATGCGATGTGAAACAACCGATTGAACCAACTGCAATATCATATAAGTTGCTGCACAGGCATCACACAGGGCTGAGGCCCTTACCGAAATGGTTCGCCTCACGCTGCGGAGAACCACCCTCACGGCCCGGAAGCAGTCCAGCCGTTTCGCACAGGTCTGCTGCAGCTGGATAAACCTTCAGTCCCTGCTGGCGTGGCATGCTGCCCATGTATTGCTTGCCGGCGGCAAGCTCTCTGGATTTTCTCATCGACTGGGGGGCGACTTGCTGGGGCTTCCTTCGTCTTTCAGACGTGCCCGACCCAAGGACCCTACCCCTCTCAAGGCCGTCTGCGTCGTTGACTTGGGAGGGCTTTGGCGCCAAATCTCCCACGACAGAGGTTCGATGCCCTGCAGCCCCTGCAAACGCTTCCCGAAGCTGCTTGGCGATGTGACGGCTTCGGGCATTGACGTTCTCGTTCGGCACGCCGAAGACTGCTGGACCTCCAACGAGCGCACCGTTGCTTCTCGCGTAATTGGTGGAGATGTCTCTTTGCCGCAGCCACCAGGAATGACGGGCACCAGCCGCGTTGTCATGGAACTGTCGATGCACGCTTTCATAGTCCCTGGAAGCTCCAGCCAGTGGACAGGCCCTTGGATCCCTTGGCTCCCGAGCAGAAAGAGCACCAGAAACGCGTGAGCTGATCCCCGTCATGCGGCTTGAACTGGAGCTGGCAGCATCGGAGCAAGGCTTCCAAGCCCTGGGAACCAGTGTGTTTTGAGCATCACTGGGACGGAGCTCCATCACATGTCGGGCAGGGGCGGAGAATATATGGCTCACGAGTTTGGTCTCCCACCTGCTATCCACTGCTGTGCTCATTGGACTCATGAGCATGCCCGCATTATCTCACGTTGGCTGCTAGCCACTTGCTGTCACTTGCACTAAGGTTCATGAAAGATTTCCTGCATTTGCACATGCTGACCAAACTTGATGTGACATCAGCAACGCATGGGATGTTAAAGTCATGCAAGCTCTCCCTAATGCCGACATTTGCAGTCCATAGGTCTGCATGCCTCATCTCTGCTCAGAAGTGCTTGCACCTGACGGACGTCCAACGCACAGTTGAGTCGGAGTGATGGCAGATATCATCAAGGTGATGTGTTGGCGGCAGGTGACACATGTCAATGCACCTTCTCCCGCTTGGCAGATGTCTCCCGTTCCAGGCGGTCTCTGTCAGGGCCTTGCATTCTGGGTTTTAATGGACAAGGGCAAGGACATCTGCAATCCTTGAGGCACACACGCCCCACTGCGATGCTGTCTATCATCTTCAGACCTGAAGTGGTCGAGTCCGAGAAGGAAGATCTGAATCTGCTGCTTCAGTGCATGCAACTGCACGCTTCATGACCCGCACAAGATCACCCCAGCACAGCTGGTTGGCCAAGCCCCTCAAGCAACCCTCGAAAATTCTCCACCATCCTTCTGAATGATGCTTCATCTGCAGACTCAAGTCTTTCAAGAGCCCAGCATCTCTCCACTTCCTGCAGTCGGCCCAAACCTGTCGGCTGCTTATTCTGAAATATCTTCTGAACAGCAGGGACAGGCGGTGCATGGAACATCCGCCTTCCAATGCGCAAGCTTTCCTGAACCAGGCTTTGTGGTCCTGGCGCAGTAACAGCCGCATTTCGGAGCTTGTGGCGAACATCTTTTAAGCCTCCCCGTTTACCAAGACATCTCACATCCGGCTTCCGGGCCCAACCCTGTCAGAAACTCTCCACCTGTCCGGAAGTGGGGGGTGGGTCGAAGGTCAAGTTTGTTTACCGGAGGGCTGGGGCGGAGGGGGAGAAAGGGCCCAAACTCTCTCTTTCCCAAACCTGCGCCTTCCCGTGTTCCAAATTCTTTCGGCCCCGTTTGATGTTCCAATCTAAGGGGGATTAGATGGGAAGCCATGTCGAAAGCTTGCCTGGTCATCCGTCTTCAGCACATCCTCCGCGGATTCAAGCGCCTGCCCATAATTCTGGGCTGTGCTCCTGAACTCCTGAAGGGCATCGGACAACCTGCCTCCTGCCAGCAATGCAGCTTAAGCGCCGCCAGGGCCCTGTTCTTCAAGAGTGCCACTCGCACCTGGCTTTGTGCAGGCCTATACTGCATCCGCATGGCGGTCTAACCTCCGCCAATGCACTTCGCAAGTTACCAAAGCATCCACGGGCACATGCGAGCACGGCTCATTGGCACCTCCGAGAAGAACTTCTGCTCAGAAGCATGCGTGTCAGGCACGCGGATCCTGCGCCACTGTGTCTGCATGCCATGAGAAGTGACACCCATGTGCAACCACTGCCTCCCGGTGTCAAAGGCCCTCAGGGTTTCGGGTTGAAGCTGGAATTACTGGTTTCGAAGGTTGGAAGCATCACAACAGCCCCCAAGCGCCTTCGGCCACAAAAAGTGTGCAGCCTTTCATGTGATGTTCATCCCCCTCCCCTCGGAAGGGCTCGGGTTGCGAAACCGCATTGCGTTGGCCTGCTTCTGCAACTGATATGAGGCCCCTTGCACCGTTGATGCGGCCGCAAACCTAGAAGCCTTTCAAAACCGTGGCCATTGCGCTTGCCATCCTTCAAGGGTGTGGTCACCAATGTGCATCTTCTTTCGGGTGCTCGCTGGCATGCCAAGAGATGCTCCGTGCCTAGCTTCAACAGAAGATAGCAGAAGCATACAGCAGATGGAAGCAAATGTGTGTACAGAGTCCAGGGAAGTCGCTACTGAGTATGGCATGCAAGATCATCTCAGCAGCTCGCAAGCCCTCTTGGTGAAACAGACAAACCACGTGGAACTGCCCACCCACCCATGTCTTGGGCTGTGCCTCGTCGCTTCGTCACGGTGCGACAGTGCAGCTTCGTTCGATTTGTTGTCGGCCGTCCACCCAAGGCTGTTACACTGTTACGCTCTTACACGGCCTGTGATCTTATCTTTCAGGCCTTTACAGGCTGGCAAGCAACTTGGGTGACTGGAAGTGACGCATAGCTTGCCACACACCAAAGAGCTCACACGGGTTTTCTTTTTGGAAGCAGCCGTCCTTTCCAAGGCCTCGCAGCCAAGCCGCCAGGCCTTGCATCACGTGCTCGCACCCCTCCAAGCTTTTCCGCCACTTCTGGCGTGCGAAGCCCTGCCTTCAAGGCATCCTCGGCGTTGCCTCTTTCCCATTCCACCACGCCATCCTGGAAATGGGCGAGGTCGATTCATCGGCTGAACATTTCATTTCTTGGCCCGGCTGTAAGGGAAGCTATGTATGTATACCATGATGGGGCCTTGCGGTACTTGGTGGCAAAGCTCAGCCCATCGTGTACCTCTTTCATACCTCACATTTGTGCTTCAACTTGAACATAGAACCACTCTGCCCAATGCACGGTGCCCTTTGGACGAGGTCGGCCAAGCACAAGGACTCACACCGCGCTACGTACTTCTTGTGGAAGGACCGGAGAAGGAGATGCAGCTCTATGATGGTCGCACTTGAATCTGCTTGAGGGCCCTGGATTTTTCGGCGCTCGTGGGAAGCAGCCTCAGAAGTTGCTTGACTCCCTGATTCGTTCAGCAGGCGCCAGCTGATCTTGGAACTGGGCATTTTCCTTGATGCCCCGCTGATGCCAGGCCTGTGCAAGCCGTGAAGCCGAGACAAACCCTGAGGCTTTGGTGATAGACTCAGGTAGCCCGTGCTTGAGAGTGATGGGTTTACTGCATGAGTGTGGGTTCCGCATAGACAGATCACAAATTTCAGGGGCCGCCTCGAATATCCGATCCGCGCCCTGATCACCTTCCGCATCAATGGTGTTGCGGAAATCGAACAGCATCCTGGCACGACAAGCGCTTTTTGTTCTTGTTCAACTGATTTTTTTTACAAATTGTGTAGCTTTTCTCCGTGGTTTCTGCTTCCCCATGCACTTTCGCATTCGGCCTTTGCGTCTCCGGAGCCTCCAGGAACTGCGCGAAAGGCACGCCTCGCTCTTGAGCTTGTCGCACGACCTTTAGGTCTAAGGTTTAGGGTTTACTGTTCCGGCCCAGCATGCAGTTAGCATATAGAAGGGGGCCAAGAATGTGCTAAATGTAAGTATGGGCACCTGAAAAGTAGCCAAAACTCAGGGGAAACCCAAAAAACTGCAGTTAGCATATGACAAAGTGCTGTTAGCACAAGAGATCCTCGATCAAAGGATGGACACCCAAAAAATAGCAAAACTGCAGAGGGTTCAGGGTTTATAGTTGAGGGTAAGCCATCGCAAGACCAGTAGCTGCAGCGTGCGGCATCAGGGGGGCCCTGCAGTAGGACTTGCGCAACAATATGATGAGGAGTGCAATTGCGCCCGGGACATCCCTTTCGCTTCCCAGTTGTCTCGACAACCATGCCCGGCAAACCTCCAAAATCGACGGAACCGATGCTTGGCCACCGCAATGCCCCCCGGTTGAATGCTGCAGTGAGAAACTCCAGAGTTCCTTGTTATTCCTTACCGCTTCTTCAATTTTGAGCCTTGCACAATCTTGCAAACTGTGGCGGACAAGCATGGCGCCGGGCCTGCATCAAGTACGCCTCCACAGCCCTGTAGTGAAGAATTGGTGTCACCTCTGGCTCATGTACCGCGATTGGCAACCGTGGTGCAGAATGGCGAGCAGGCGCTGAGGTGTGCGCCAAACGCCTAGTGGCCATAGTGCATTCGTCCAAGCGGTCCGCCAACTGTCAGGACTCCGACTCGACTGCATTTCGCAACAGCGACAAAAGAAACCATCCGGCCATGCTCATCAAATCGCCTCTCGCCGGAACTGGTTGGTAGTCTGTACCTATCAGAGCGAAGGGCCCTGGAAGGCTGGAAAAACGGCTGAGATGCATTGACCGCTGCCTCCTGAAACTGCTGAAGCCAGGTGTTTTTTCTCAGCCTCCACTGCCAATGCGTGACTATCGGCCCTGACTGGACCTGGTACTTGGCACTTGGCACTGAGGCAGGCGCTTCCAATGGTCATCGGACTGCATGAGCGCTTTCATGTGGGGCTTGCGAGCCGCGTTATTCCAGAACTCTGGGTCCTCCCACAAAGAGTTTTTCCAGTGTGCTGTATGGCTACGTCACACCAGGCCTCTTGAGTGAGGAAGAAATTGGGGTTTTCACGTGGGTCATCTGTTTCACGCCGAAACTGCTGTGACCTTCAAGAAAGCACTCAGCAGGTTCACGCATGTTCACGCCGTGCAGCTGCAGCGAGATGTTCTTTTATTTTGCAGGGCTCGCATCAGAGGAAAGCCCGCACGGGCATTGATGACCCAAACTTCATTCAAAGCCCTCGCGCAGATTTTCCGAGCCCCAAACAGTAAAACGATACAACAGCGGAGCTGTCACCCTAGACATCCTCTTGTCAGATTGCGGTGGCAGCCGTGGTTCACGTCATGAGCACCACGGGAAGCAGGCTCCAAGTGCATGAAGCCAAGACCGTCTGACAGCCTTGGGTTCAAAACACTTATTGTCTGTCCCTTGACACTCCCGTCTACAGAGACAGAAACAGAGCTTTCGAGAAGACCCGCATACTTTGAACACCTGTCCTGAACAGTTCTCGACAAGAACTGAGCATGACAATGAGATGGAATTTGCTTAGGCATCACGAGAGACGACAGAAGTTCTGTGGCGGAGAGTTACAACACGGCAGCAAGTGGCCGTCGTTGAAGTCAGAAACCAACTTAACTTAAGCTGGCCGCGGCAGTGAGGTCCCCAGGCACAAGAAAGATACAGTACCAAATCGTCCAACTAGGAATTCTGGCATGCGCAATCGCACAGTCCTTTCCAGCCACCGTGTGGGCGCAGTCCGCCAGAGGGCATGAGAGCATCGAACCCTTCTTGTGAAAGCTGAGCATTACGACTGTCAATCTAGGGAAACCCGCCTGCATCTGGCTGAGGGTTAGAGACACATACATGCGCCCGAAAACTCAAACTAGACCGAGTGACGCCGAGTAAGCAAGTCAGCTGAGCCCCGGTTTAAGTGTTTTCTGGCGAGGGAGCCGGAAGCCGACAAAGCTCTGCATTCCAATCACCACCCACCAAGGATGGAGGGGCATGCAAAGTGCGCAGCACCGCATGTTGACACTCTCACTGCGAACAACGGATTGATCAAGGACTAACTTTCGACGCAGGAACGAGGAAGCCCTGCTTGTTGTTGAGGCTGATGTCTTGCTGCCTCGGGTAACCGGTGAATAGAGCACCGTACTCCACTACTTGGGATGCAATTGATGCGTCAATCGGTCAGTCCACAGGTCTGAGTCCCTGTCCATCTCCTCGGATATGCGGCAAGCTGCAGAACTCACATCCCGATCACAGTCTGCACTGAGTCTGCACTTTCCACGCTCCTTCTTCGGCTCTGGTGCAACAACCTGCGACATCTCAGCGGCATAGTGCGGCAAAGGATCGCTTTGTCAAAGGGATTCTTGTTGCCCCCTCCACCCAATCCAGTCATCTCGCTTAAGATGAACCCACGTACAGCCTCAAGGTCTGATTGCATGCACGCAGCTCACCATGAAATTCCTATCACTCTCCTGGCCAACCAAGTCTAGATGGACTGATGCTCCTCGGTCATGAGGTATTAGCAACACAACGATTTCATTTTGCAGAAGCTGCGGGACTGCATGTCATGTGTATGACGTCAGGTCGAAAGAAAACCCGACCAATGAAGAAAAATGATGCCACTGGTTGGTGCCGGGTGACAAGTCGACGACCCGCAAGCTTTGCTGTCCAAGACCTGGTGAAAGAGTGTGAGCATGTTCAAGAGATTTCAAGAGTCATGGCCATGCCACTCCGGCTTTTCTTCCTGTGAATTCACGCCTTATATAAGTCAATGCGAGGGTTGCGTGAACGCGTAAAAGTAATGGCGACTTGGGCAACCTCGCTCCCACCTCGACATCAGCGCATCAGACTTGAATCGCTGTGTGTTGCACAACGTGGCGCCACGACTTTGCAGTTTCTCGCTGTCTTGGATGGTTTCGCTGCATGTAGCCTCTCTAGGGGATCTCTGCATTTCGTGGTTGTCGAGATGATGCTTTGGGCGCTCAGCTCACAGTCCTCCTGGATTCCACGATGCTCTCACGGTGATCGGGGCAGGCTGCTCAACCCTCCCCCCCCGTGCGCGCTGTTCACAAATCGGCTTTGCTTAAACGTCTTGTCCAAGGATTCAGGAACACTTAGAGAAAATCCGAGCTAAAACCTGCCAAACCTACAGGTTTCCGCTTTTGGAAGTTGGCACTACGGCTCGCAGTCTTTGGACTTCGACCATTTGGATATGTGTTACTTACCATAACATGCACAGTCTTGCACAGTAATTAGGACGCACGAACAGGATCATGGAGTGCCGCCGGTTCCTACTGAGATTTAGTGAGTCCCGGCCGAGGCAGACAGGCACAGGCACTAGCTCTGGCACCACGGGAAAACTCCTTGAGCATATCGTGCAATCCCTTGCAATCCCTTGCAATCCCTTGCAATCCCTTGCAGGCCTGCAGATCCGGTGCAGGTGCTTGAGGTCCAGAGGCTTCTGGGTGTGCTCGGGACCCAATGCCAGCCGACTCAAGGAACAGTGGATGTAGCCATGCGCAGATCCGCCTACCGTTCTTACGATGGTCGCCTGCCGCAAAAGCTTGGGATGCTCGTGCACAGCCGCAAGATCAAGTTCGTCCTTCCGCTGCACGTGCGACAGCTTCTTCTGCAGGAAGACATACAACACATCGGTTCTCAGCGCGGTCATTGGATCCATCTCAGTGCTGGCGCGATCGCTAAGCACCCCAGGTTTGGACAGGCCTTGGTCGCTGTCGCAGGTTCCCACTGTTCGGAACAGCGCCAACAGAGAACCGTCTTTGGCGAGCATGAGTCGGTCCACCTCCAGAACGAACGCCTCATGATCTGCTGCGACATGACGAAGCGCCTAAGCATGTTTCACAACACCGTTGAATGTTTGTTCAGACAAAGCCGGTGCACCCCGGGAGGTTACAGCATGTTACAGCAAAGCGGATTTCAAGCAGAAGCGCCTCAGTGACTTGGCTGTTGTAATCGCCATGCGCTTTTGGGTCGGCGTCTGGCTCTCTCCACAAACTCGGAATGCATACCGTGATGTGTAAGTCCTTTTGGGGGATGTGGGCCACCTCTGGAATCCATGTGCTGCTCGTTTCAATGTTTTCCGCTTCTTCCCGACTGTGCATGCCCGACAAGAGCAGCACGCAGTTCACGACGTCTTCCCTTGCCTCAGCAAGCAAGCTTTGTAGTGGTTCCTCGATCGGGATGGAGACAGCGAGTTGCGTCTTCCCATTGTCCTGAACTCTAGCAGCACAAATAATAAATGCGAAATACCCCCTTCCCCTCAAGAGATTTCAGTAGTTCTATTAATCGTGACACGATTATCGCAAGTCTCCGTCACAAAGCCCTTCTCGTAGGCTCGCCGCGCGGGGATCAAGTCCGCAGTGCCGTCACGATCCCGCCACTGGGCCGAGTACTCCTCCTCGTACCTCATTGAATCTCATTGACTACACCTTGAAGAGCCACTCTCAAAGGGGTCAAGAGAACCATTTGGCAAGCAAAACTTGGACTGGCAAGCCGACATGTCTCGTGTCCAAGGCAATGTTCGAAGGCACTTCACATCGGAAAACGAGCCCGAGCCACCCGTTTCAACATATGTATACATACCTTATTTGGGTTCTTACTATAAGGGAACCATACTATTTGGGGACTATATTGGGGTCCCATATTCTTTCTGTCCCCAAGTCGCTGAAGCGCCTCCTCAAGCTGACGGTCGTACTCCCTGACACGCTTCTCGTTTGATTGGCAGACGCTGTCACGCCAGCCGATTCCCAGACGCTCGAGAATCGAGTAGTGGAAGGAGTCGTCCATTTTGCAAATTCGGTAGCAGTTCTCGAAGGAACTATGGTAACTATGCTTGCACACTACGTGGCTTGTATCATGGCTTGCAGAGATTTGCATTCGAAGCAGCGTCTGGGATTGGCGTCTTTGGGCAGTTGCACTTCGGGCGAGGCAACAGCTCTGCATATCTCTGCATGTTTGCTAGCAGCAGTTCTTAGCAGCAATAACGAGCGGAGCAAGCTCTGATCACACCAGGCTGCGGCAACTCTCATGACATCAAGCTGATTCAAGCTGGGATGGGCGCGGAAAGGCTACCTAAACAGGTACCAGTACAGTGAGTTTTATGAACAAACTGGAATGACAATTCTATTCTGAAGCCACCGACTTTGAAGCAAATCGAATCACAAAGCGCCCGAGGATGTCGCAGCCACCTTGGGTCATCATATTTCGCGTCGTAGTCAGGATAGCCCCAGTCCTGCATCAAGTCATCAAGTTACAGTTGCGAATCTGGAGTTGCAGGTGTGTGCAGCTGACGTCGTCTCGTGCACACTCCTTCAGCTGATCTCTTGTGTAGCCACCGTTCTGGGCTGGCCTGCAGAGAGGCACGACATGAAGCTTGCAGCGTTTGTTTTGGTCAGCCGGCCCATGTGCGCAATTACTACGCAATCGGAACAACGTAGAGGGACTGACTGCTGAGGCAGGTACGGAACGAAGGCTGGTGGAACTGCTCTCGGCTTTGCAAGACCAGAGATCTCCGCAAGAGAGAGAGCCTCAAGCGGTGACAGGCGGTGACATGCAACATGCCCGGACGTTGCTTCACCAAGCTCATGCGATACGCTACACACACGGATTTGTCATCGATTGAATACTTTGGCATCTGTATGCAGCATGCATGTCTTGTGCAAATTCACGACGTGCCCGTTGCCCTGTCATTGAGTGGCTCGGCAGCCGGCATGTGGGTTGGACTGCTCTGGAAAATTCAGCTCCCGCTGATGCTGCACATCAGCATCTCCGCCCTCCTTACAAAAAGGCTGATACCATCGGACGCCGGCTCTGTGCGCCACATTGAGCCATAAAGTTACGACTTAGAACACACGGAGCCCGTCCTGGCTGCCATCCCTGAACGAAACTGCGCTGGCGCCGCCCGGCGGAGGCAACCTCAGGAGAGATTGCGACTTCGGAGCCAGGTGGAGGCTGAGCAAATTGCCAGTCTCGAGCAAGTGGTGTCCATCACATACTGAACCTTCTCCCTACCTCCCTGTAAATTCAAACCGATCTCTTCAGTCCTGAAGCGTCCTGAGGCTATGACAGAGCAACTGCAGGGTGCACCTCAGCAGGCATAGAGATTGAGATTAGGCAGCAGCAGCAGCAGCAGCAGCAGCAGCAGCAGCAGCAGCAGCAGCAGCAGCAGCAGCAGCAGCACACAAGTCAACGCATCACTTTTACGAAGCCCGGCTACGACACCAGCGAGTCAGCCACTCGCCTGTTACACCGCGCGTGACGTATTGGCTCAGCTTCACTAGGCTGCCCGGCCCAATTTGTGATGCCTCTTTTGCAATTCCAGAGCTTTTTCAATGACTTTCAGATGATTTCGCACTTGCAGGATGGCCAGGATGGCTCTCACGAGACGGTGCCTGCCATGTGCCGGACTTTCTCCGCAATGCCGGGCATGATGCCTTAGTGCATGGCTGGGCAAAGTCCTGCAGATTTTTGCAGGTCTGCACCCACTCAAAGCGTCTCAACGCTGTATCACTCTAGGGCTCAACCTGTTTCACCGCGAGGGTCCATGGCGGCAGCACAAAAGTGTGAATAGGTGCAGAAGAATAAGCTAGTGTGCGACGATGATGCTCTTGGGCACTTATGAACGGTACGCGTACAAGCTCCACACCATGTGGTGTGACCCAGCTGAAGCAAATCAAATCATATTGGCCAGTCCAGAATCCAGAATATCGCCTACTCAAGGAAATGCATGGGAATGCAAGCCTGACCGCTTGGAACGCTTGATGCTGCTTGTTGCATAGCGCTCAACAAACTTGCAGCCGAATCATTTTCAAATATTTTCAAGAGTCCGGTCCAAGACGAAGAGTCAGCCGACAACTCGATGCATGTGTGTCCCATGGTGGTCCTGGCTTCTCTCGTTCCAAACTGTTGTAACGTCGCTGAGTTTGCACGAATGGTTGTTGCCCACTCCCTCCGCCAGCTCCCTCGATGCGACACCGCATCTCCTGCCCGGATGCAGTTTCAGCCTGGATGGGATGCCATGCGAAAGGGTCGCACCCCGATCCTTGTCTCTCTTGGTTGCAGATGGTGAAACTTTCGTTGCCGACTGGAGATGGGTGGTCCAGCTTATTCGCTTCATTGGATCCAGTTGTGGATGAACTCCTCTGTCTTTGGGCCGGTTTCCTCTTCCATTCCGCCAACCCCCCCTCCCCAACCCGCGACACGTCAAAAGCATGATCAATGAGTGACAGCTTTGCTTCTAAGCAAATGGCCAGGTGGCTCTGTACCTTCAGTTCACCTGAACAGATCTGAACAATCGCACTTGACATTGCGGAAAGATGCGCGACCTTCGCGCAGCATGGCTGCTGCAGAGCACCCCTCCCCCCGAAGCAAGTGCACGAAGGCATTGGTCTAGTCCCTCCCACAGCCTCCAGACGACAGCTCCGCTCATTCCCCCAGCAGAGTCAACAAAATCTTGTTGCTTCAGTGTCGTCAATGACTACAGTAACTGACTTGCCAATCTGTTTTGCGGCAGGCTCTGCGACTCTACAGAGGCGGGCAGTGTGCCAGAAGATTCGCTCTTCACTCAGCGTTAACTTGGAAGCCCCTGTGCAGTCGTTGCCTCGAGGCTGAAGACGCTAGCTTTGCAAGCATCTTCATCTTTAACATTTACTGCAGATGTGAGAAGCGCAGTAGAAAAACGCTTGGCCGTGCCAAGCTCAGAGGCATTGAGCCCCGATGCAGCATGAACCTCACCTTGGAGCAACAATGAGCCACATGTATTTTGAGACAAACTTTATGATTGCTGCCTGATTCATATCAGCAGACTGAGTCCGGAGCATCTGTCAAGCCCATCATCGGTGGGCATCACTGTACAAAGGGGCAGCCGCTGGCTTTGACCGCTTCGCAGCCAGTGGCTGGACCAGGAGCATCCTGGCAAAATGAAGTAGCGAGATGTCCCAAGGTCGAGAAGCGGGTGCGGCGCGCAGCTTTGAAAGCTGCTCGTGACTTACTTATTACCTCGGCAGATGAAAAATGAGAAGTCCGCAAAGGGCGGACCACCTATTGGGAGCTTTAAAAAACATTCCAGTCCGCCGGAGGGCGGCTGTTGAGGGCGGGAAGTGTGGAACAGCCACAGAAGCCAGGAAGTTTGGGAGAGTGGAGCAGCCATTAACAACCAACCTCCTCCAAAGGTTTTCCGACCTCATGCCCTGCCAGTAGTGCGGTTGCTAAACATTTTGGTGCTACTAGCATGTAACATTCACATCTTGCAGTGAGCTTACATAACGGGAATCCTCTTGCCACACATGTCACAACATCTGCTTTGTAGCACTGCCGCATCACCTGTCCCACCATTCAAGGTCTAGTTGCAGCTCATCTCAAGCCCCAGCCAGCAAGCCTTACTAAGGATCAGGTTTGTAGAGAAGATATTAAGAGCAAGTCCGCTGCGCCCAAGGGACCTGAACTTGGAGGAAACAAGTGTGCATGTGCTCTGTGGGCCTTGGACCAAGGGCAGCCGAGCTCAGTGAGCTTCTTGAAAGCCTGGCATGGCCCCAGTGCTATGACATTTGCATCGGACTATCTTGCGGCGTGCGTCTCAGATCTCCATGCGTATCAGACCTCGCCGAACTCTCGCTTCAACAAGTCCTCGTCTTCTGCATATGCCTGCGAGGACGAACCCAGCATGGCAGGCATGATTCCTGGTTCGAGCACCTTCCACCTTTCACACGCGCATTTCTGTAAGTACTGTAGGTGGACTGTGAGTGGAGTCGAGCCTCTAGGTGCTCCCGAAAGCCGGCATCCCACAGCAGAACCATGTCGGACACCAACATCATTTGATGGCCAGTCCTTGCTGACAGCTCGCAGAACAGGACCGTCCTAGGCTCGCCACGTCTGGCTCTGCCTGGGAACCTGGCTGGCCTTTGAGTGGCTTTCGGGGTTTTTCGTTGTAACCTGCGCGGCTGACGAAGGACCCCAGCTTGTTCAGGGCGCACAACTTCGGCCTTCGACGATCTGCTCACAAACCAGACTTGTGGGGCCAGCAGTGGAGTAGATAGTCACCTTGGGAAGGAAATGCATTCCATCTCAAGCCAAGCAGTTAGAACTAAGTCATGATGTGGTAGGCCTCTGTGGCGCTCTCTGCCACCCACAGGCCCGGCCACTAAGCCAAATTCAGTGCCGCTGCTGCTAGTACACGTTTCTGCCCATACTTTCAGGCTTCCACCCATCCAGATCCTGCAGGCCCGGCAAGCCTGTGGAAACAGATGAGCTTCTTAATTAATGAAGAAGACATCGAATGCTGCCAGCACTGCGCCTGCCCATGATGGAGATATCGGCATCTGCGGCAGCTGGACAGCACACTGAATCTAAACAACACCGCAAAACAGCTGCAACGAGAAAATGCGTGCGCCCCCCAAGCACTTGCTTGTTCTCGGTGTCCGTTTCTTGTGTGTGTGTGTGTGTGTATGTGAATGTGTTTGTGTGCGATCACATCTCGGCCCCTGGCTCTCGTTGGATTGGATCTGGACTTCATCGAAGCTTACCTCGTCCCCTGCCTTTCAAAGCCGAAACTGTAGCTGGCCAGAATTATCCAAGCAAGTAGAGCGTCGGGGGCCTGGAGTCGCCCAGCTTCGGCAGAAGGAGATGGGCCCTCGAAGACTGGGGTACCTTGTGGGCTCCGCCAGCTTCCCAAACTTGGAAAACTTCAATGTCAAGCTGGCTGCAGAGCCGGCCACTTGGCAGAAGAAGGATTATCTTCGGTTTCAAGTGAAGCTTCACAGCTTCAAGTGTCAGGATCGGTAGCGCAAGTCGGAAGTAGAAACAGGCTGAACTCCTCAGCACCAAGGCCGTGGCCAGCCACTCGCACGCGGTATCCTCAAAACCCAAAGGAAACAAGCATACGCAAACCAGAGAATACAATGCTACACACAATTTGCTCGATCAAGAGCAACTGGACATCAAACTCACCATCACGATGTATCAGAAGTGCACTTGGCTCTTGCTGCGTGATGCTAACGAAAATGATGTGCTGCATAGGTCGGACGATCTGAGATCAAGACCCCCTTGCAGCTTCGTAGCATCAAGCTCCGACACTCTCTTGAATAGAGGCTTGCCTCCAGTGTAATGTGAAGAAGCTGATTTTGAAAGGCTCAAGGCGGCCCGCTATCTGCCGAGGCCCTATGCCTAAGCTACTGAACAAACCTCATGTGGTCCCTATGACCTGCTATGGAGCCTCCTATGGACTCCCCATGAGCTCCCAGAGAATCGTACCAATTCCTTGATTGGAACCTCATGGACCTCTTCGCCCATGGATGACCACCCATGGACCCCGGGAACCAATCTCCATGCACCCACGCCTATGCACCCCGTTCAGCTTTGGAGCCTTCTGGATTCTCTGGATGGTCCGCCTATGGACTCTTTTATGAAGGAGATCGTGAAGATGCGAACGGGACATCAATTAGGAGAGTGCATCCGTACAAGAAACGGGGACCAAAAGTGGCTGTCCCATTCACGGGCATTATGCTGAGTTTAAACCTGTCATAATGAGTGAATCCCGCACACGGTCCCAACGGTGCATACCACTACTGATTTTATGATCAGGAGAGCAAGATGCGGAAGATCAATGGAACAATCAGGCACTAGATTCATAGCGTGTTGTGAGCCAGGGTAGTTTCCTTGTAGTAGCAGATATGTGGGCCATGGAAAAGCTCCCATTAACAGGATTCGTGGACAGGCGCTGACAGCTTATACTTCATTGGCGCCCGAACGCATGAGTTGTCAATGCCAAAATATACAATCATCATAAGCACCCATTAAAGCCCTGCAAAACTTCATGCAGCCAAACACCTGTAAATGAGTGAGCACAACGACCCCAGGGAACATTCTAATTAGCGGACCTGGAACCCCTATGAACCCCCGTGGTCTTCTGTGGAACCCTTTCGACCCTCTGGAAGCTCCATGGACATTCCATGGACCGCCACAGCCACTATAAACCCCGTGACTGGAGTAATGAGTGGAACCCCCTATAAACCGAGACTGGCCTTCCTCCATCTCACTCCATACGGACCCCTGGGACTCTGCTGTGAACTCTCGCTAGCTCAGACCATGCTTCCTGCATCCGGTTGACATGCAGGCCGTGTCGAGGCGGGCCACATTAGCGTTAATATTGCGTTTTGTTAAAACCGTGCTGTTGAAGCAGCGGCCGTTTTGCCGGGCACAGCAGGGAGAACCAGCTACGAGTACAAGCTGCTGTCACGGCCTGCCCCGCTGGCAAGTGAAATCCAGCCACCGCGCCTGCATTGCTCGCTGGCTTCCAGTACGGCCCCAGTGAAAAACTTTTGACGACCGAGGGTTTCGAGCCTGAATTCCTACAGCCTTGGCACCCTTTGGCGAACTGTAAGCGCGCTGCGATGCCAGCCCGCGTAGCTCTGTGCCAAAAACCTGAATGTACACAGCATGATGCATTGATTGCTTCAAGTGAGCCAGTCTTTCAGTCAAGAGAACCATCGCCGTCGCGATTGGTTGCGTGCTGGGTGTGTTTCCTCCCGTGTTCCTTCCTCCTGCTTGCCTCAGGCGCTGTCACTTATCCCCCGAGTCCTCCAAGTCAGGCTCTTACAGAAAGCCATCTAGCTTGACATGGTTGACCCAAATCTACTGGGCTCAGCATCTTGTGGGAGTAATTATGGGACCCGACGAATGCGGTCAGAGACGTGTCCTGGGCACCTTTGCGGACATCGCTGCCGGGCATGACTTGGTACAAGTATAATGGTGAATGTCCACGCACGTACGCACTTTATATCTGACTCTACCTTTCACCCCCTCCGATTCGACCCGGGCCAAAACATGGCCTTGCTTCGGTCGGCTGCCTAGAGTTTTGGATGCCCTGCTGCGTGAAGCGTCAACATTGACGATCAGGTGTTGAGATGCTGAGCACGCTGCTTTGACAGCCAGGAAGGAAAGCTCCTCGCAACAAGCCAGTCTACCAGCACAGAGATTGCATTTCATGCATGGCAAGCGCATTGGCAAGGCTGCTAGGGATTACTCGCACTAACGACTTGAACTGCAATGCGTTGAGCCTCTTAACTGAGTCTCAAGCACCTGCGGAACGCTACTGCAAGGCTGTGTCATGCCAATATTTGAGCACTGCCTCATCCTGAAGGCAACGGCCATGGACAGGTGAGGATACGTCCGGCTGCTCCTTTCCAATCCCACTTGCAAGCTCGATGCGAGCCTGGTAAGATGGTGGTAGAACTGAGGGTCTGGCATGGACATTCACCCACTGGGTCAAACATTTGTAGAAGCCTTCCAAACATGTCCAAAAGTCGTTGCAAGTGACCAAGCATGCATCTACTGCAGCAAGAAGCCTGGCGGATACTCCTGGCAGCATCGCACGGCGTGCTGGATTGTTGCAAGCTCGTCTTGTGTCAACAACATTCAACAGCCCACAACAACGCAGCTTCAGAAGCATCAGCCGCTCTTTGGCATCCGGGGCTTCTTGCGCTTCTTCATCTTCCTCTGGTGAGCGGGCATTTCAGACACGGGTCAGACTTTCATCAGACAGTGAATCTCGTGCTCTGCCTCTCCCTCGTATTTGGTCAGGTCAATGTACCTCGGTAGATGACCCCGGGCTTGCTGCTAACTTGTCCTTCTAGCGTCATCGAAAAACTTGTGGGGGACTGCAGGAACAAAACCTAATGCTGCTTCCTGAGGAGTCACTGGGAGTCACTGGCGTCGCACATGGGAGGTTGCGCATTGAGCCAAGGTAAGAGTTTTTTTTTTTTTTTAGCCTGCAGGCCGCTTTAGCCAAGGCGCCCTGAAAGGCTAAGAGCAGCAATTCTCGGGCTGCCGAGGCAACATTTAGGGACCTCAAAAAGTAAAGTGCTTGGACACCCACACCAGGTGGGGTTTAGGCAGACAGACCACCCCGGATGGACCCCTGCCCCCCCCCCCCCCCCCCCCCTCCCTGTGGTCTGCCTGTGGGTTCAACCTGCGGTTGGTAAGATACTCCGCCAGCTCCACGGGGGCCAGCTTTCGTGATATGCCCGTTGCATAATCGGAACGATTACGCAAAGCATGGCATAAACCTGTTGGAAATTCAGGTGGACCCTCAACCAAACCCATCCATGTCTTCTTAGCACTTGAGACAGCACCAGCAACATTCGGTTTCATTACATCATTCAGTATCAAACGCTAATTTCTTCGTTTGTCGGCTTGTTGAATCCGCCGACCCCGCTGTCGGCGTCAGTGAAATCCCGAAGGGTCTCCCCTCCCCTTCCGCCCGTTCTGACGGCTCCTTCCTGTCCTACCTTGATTGCTTTGATTGCCCAGCCCCGCCCCACCGCCCACACCGCCTCCACCATCCCCACAGCCCGCCCCCGCCCTCACCGCCCCCACCGCCCACAAATAGCTCCTGTACCCCCTCCTGTCCTCCATGCCCCCCTGCGACCCCCCCTTTCCCGCCCACACCGCCCCCACCGTCCCCTGCACCCCTTCCTGTCCTACCTTGATTGCCCAGCCCCGCCCCACCGCCCACCCCGCCTCCACCGCACCATCCCCCTGTACCCCTTCCCCTTGCCAGCTCCGCCCCACCGCCCACATCGCCTTCAAAACCCCCACAACCCGCCCTCGCCCACACCGCCCCCACCGCCCACAAACTCCTGTCCTCCATGCCCAGCCCCGCTCCACCGCCCTCCACCATCCCCCTCTGCCGCCTCCCCTGCGACGCCTCCCCCACCTAGAAGTTGAAGTGTTCTCACGGTTTCAACTCGTCGATTTTCTTGAAGTGCCTGAGTCTGAGTGGCAACATGAGGAAATCATTTTGCAACTGTGCTCACCGAAGGACGTGACGTACGACACCTTGCGTGAGGCTGCCCTGCGTTTTGAGCGCATGAACAACCGTTGGGATCATTTGAACATGTTCCAGGGTGATAGCTTGCTTGTTTGCGCAGAAGGAAAGGTGGTAAGCCCAAGAGTCAAGGTGGCGGTCCTACCTTGACCAGATCGCGCGCCCCTGCCCTCACCGCCCCCACCGCCCACTCCTGTCCTCCGCCTCTGCCACCCCCCTGTCCTACTTGGGGAAATTGAGAAGGGCTCCAATGCATGCCCAGCCCCCCCCCGCCCACACCGGCCCCACCGCCCACCACCATCCCCAATGCCACACCGCCTCCACAGACCCTGTCCAGCCCCGCCCCACCGCCCACACGCCCACGCCCCGCCGCCCACAAACTCTTGTCCTCCATGCCCAGCCCCGCTCCACCGCCCTCCACCATCCCCCTGTGCCGCCGAAATTGAACCAAGGGCTCCAATGCATGCCCAGCCCCCTCCCCCCCCGCCCCCCCACCACCACACCTTCTACAGGACGCCTCTCCCATCCCCCTGTCCTACCTGCAAATTGAATGCCCAGCCCCCCCCCGCCACCGCCCCCACCATCCCCAATGCCCCCACACCGCCGCCCTCCACCATCCCGTTCCACCACCATCCCTACCCTACCCCTTCCTGTCCTACCTTGACCACCCCCGCCCACAGCCCGCCCCCGGCCACCGCCCTCCACCAACCCCTAAGTGTTCTAACCATCCCTACCCCTTCCTGTCCTACCTTAACAACACCACCACACCGCCCCCACCGCCCACAGACTCCTGTCCTCCATGCCCAGCCCCGCTCCACCGCCCACCACCATCCCCTGAAAAATTGAAGTGTTCTAAGGCCCACCCACACCGCCCCAACCACCCCCACACCATCCCCCTGTACCCCTCCCCTGTCCTGCCTTGATGCCCACCGCCCCCACCGCCCACAGACTCCTGTCCTCCGTGCCTCTGTGACGCCTCTGCCATCCCCCTGTCCTACCTGCACACCGCCCCCACAGCCCACCACCATCCTCCTGTCCAGCCCCGCCCCACCGCCCACACCGCCTACACCACCCCCACAGACCCTGTATGACCCTGTCCAGCCCCGCCCCACCGCCCACACCGCCCACACCATGCCCAGCCCCGCTCCACCGCCCTCCACCATCCCCCCTGTAACGCCTCTCCCACCTCACAATTGAACTAAGGGCTCCAATGCATGCCCCGCGCCCCCTGTGACGCCTCCCGTGTGACCTGTTCTAAGGGCTCCAACGCATGCCCAGTCCCCCCCCCACCACCAGCCCTGTGTCCTACCTTGACCACCCCCGCCCACAGACTCCTGTCCTCCATGCCCAGCCCCGCTCCACCCCTCCACCATCCCCCTGAGACGCCTCTCCCATCCCCCTGTCCTACCTGGAAATTGAAGTGTTCTAAGGGCTCCAATGCATGCTCCGGCACTAGCACTGCCGGCTGCCGCGCTCCCGGCATCGGCGGCATTGGCGGCAGCCATTCAATCATACTGTCAATCTAGCACACGCGAATCAATAGTATGACTCTGTACATGCTGCCATGATGGCCTTGCGGCATTAAAAAAAGCCAAGGCCCCGACTGCCTCTTTCCAGGAGCAGGCCGCACCTCCACTGAAATACGAGGATACTGCATGAGGGTCACAGCAAGCATTGTGAAGCAGCTGCCAAGGACGTGCTGGCCAGACCTCTTCTGGTACTTGACCTCCATCTGGCATCACCTCAGATGCCATCTTGAGACACCATTATCCCTTAAGAGAAAGGCAAAACAGGTGATGCTTGGGCCCAGACGGTGTCATGCTTCACCGCGATCCATCTGTCTCCCACCTGCGTGCGGGGAGCTGCTTGCGCAGGGCAGTACCACTGCAGTACCATGGACAATATGCACAATAGATGCAATCAACACAGAGGCAGTTTTTGGTGTCAGGCAGGCAGCGAGCGCTGTTTCAAGTGCAGCCAACAATTGGAATGCAAAGAGGTGACCTCAGTAACCTCCCATCCAACAAAGCAGACGGAGGCGGTCTCCCACAAGCTGTCCACTTTGCCAGACTCTGCCAGGTTCAGTGCGCCCACCGACACCATTTTCGGCCAGCGAATGGACAGGTCAAGCAGGGGGAAGTTGGCGTGGGACATCGTGGGACATCGTGGGACTCTAAGAGAGCTGCTTCCCTCTGCAAACGCCATGGACACAGTGCAGCTTCGGACGGTTGGAGTCGGAGTCAGGATGCGCAGCTTTTCTCTTCCGGCTTCTGCCTGTTCCGTGGTTAACACAACCGGAAAACAAGAAGGAAGCCGCGATTTTTGACGTTCAGCATCGTTCAGCCCTCACTTGAGTCCTGTCCATGCAGTGCGAGGTGCATAACCGTTCAAGAAGCTCTGGAAGCCATGGTGTCCGTGGTGTGGCTACGTGGCTGTGATCTGTAGTGGTAGTCGGCTAGGAGGCTTAGAGCGTCCTGGCGCCTTAGAGTTCAGCCTTCGTTGGAGGTGGCGCCGATGTTCGGAGAAAATGCTCAGCTTCCTCAATCCTCGATTGACAATGACCCTCCAAGCCCTGGGTGGGCAAGAACCGAAACACTCCCACGCCAGAAGGCCATTTGTCCAACTTTTCGAACCTGAGGTGTCAGAACACAGCACTTCTGCTTCGTTCTGTCTCAGACAGTGACAGGACCCCGCAGCCCCACTTCCCAGGATCATTGGCTCAATATGGCTCAATGCATATGAGGCTCTCGGGGTGTAGCACTGCAACGACTGTTCCGGGATTGACAGAGAACCACTCCTGAGTTCAGAGAACGGTGCATCTTCAACAGACTCCTCCTCCTCAATCAACAATTGAGCAAATCCTAGAAGTCTGCAGCGTGGGCCAAGTCACTGCGAATCGCTGGCGCACGGCGTCGCTGCGCTTTGCAAAAATGGCGTTTCGTATCCTGACGGGAATCAATGGAGGCAGTCCGTGTTCTGAACCCAGCACATTTCGGACAAAGAAAGAAACACCATGCAAAACTTGCAAGACCTCCAGTGCATGCAGGGTTCTCCAGCAGTTCTGAGCAGTTTGATGTGACGTCCAAACCCTCTTTGCATCGATGGTAAGCATCGTTGGCGTAATCCTGCAGATTTGGCTGGAAGCTACAAAGCTCATCTGGCTCAGTCGTAGCCCCAAAGCGGAACAGCGCAAGAGTGTAACATTAAGACGAGGCCACATCGCCAGCGGCAGGTCTGCGCTTGACGAGGAGCATGAACAAGGGAGGGAAGTGGGAGCGCGATTTCGACCACGGAATGACCACCGGACATGTAAGTGGGAGCACGATAGGAGCGAGCGCACAGCACGTTGGAGGGAGCAGGTTCCAAGGCCCAAAAGCGGTGACAGTTCTGCATGAGGAGATTGCGCATTGGACCGATGCGGGAGCGCAAATAGTTTCCAAACATATCTCGTTTAGGATGACAACCACAACCCCCCGAATCCGCATGCAAGCACGTGCCTAGATGGGAGCGAACGATTTCGGGTGCGCTCAGGCAAGACGCGGATAGACGCGGATGCAGCCGTCACCTAGCCCTCCCTACCCTCCACGTTGGAACTGACACACTGCCTGGATAAAATGCGTCAACATGCAAGCGCCATGTCACTCATTTCAAGGCTTGCCGTCTCAACAAAACCAAAACAAGACTGCGCTGGCTTTCCTGATCCAGCGGACCCTCACCCCGTGGCATCCTGGCAAAATGAAGAAAGAAACTTGAGAATCTCATTCTGCTCTGAAAACAGATGATGCCAGCCTGGTCTCAATGGGGCAAACGCGAAGCGTGCCTCAGGTGGTTATTGCTCTGCGGTTTAACTCAGATCGCCGGGCTTGACACGACGTTCAATCCGAATTCCCATTCGAGCCCACACAAGTCGTGCAGTCCTGCGGTTGAATACAAGTTCTGGGTCGACATACACGATTACTATGTCAAGTCAAAACCCATGCACACCTGCTCTCAGGACAACTAGCACATGTTAAACCCGACGGCTCCCCACGCAGGCTTGACGGGATTTCACATGCGAGGTTCTGTCTAAAGCCAATCCCCATGCACGTAGCCACAGCTTTGTGTACCCAAACCCCGGCAGAGCCAGGAACTCCAGAAAGAAAACAGCGTGTTCAACGGGGGACTTGTAGGGGAGCTGCTACGATGGGGAGGGGCTCCACGCAGATTTGTTTATGACATATCCAGATACAATGGCATAGGCATACAAACCTGTGTCGTGGGACCTTCACGCCAACCTAGCACACGCTTCGCGATGCGACTTCATGTCAAAGGTTGCAGCGCAAACTACGTGATTGCTCAACCATGGGGAGATAAGAAGGGCACGACCCAACCGTTACCTAAACTCGTGCGCCAAGTACTGTAAGAGTGAGGAAGGGCAAGGCCAGTAAGAAGAGTTCTTGTTCCGAAAGAGGGGGCCGGAAATAGCGAGTAGAATAGAGGCATTGAGACAACGGTAGTCGAAAAGAATGTGGCGCTCAGAGGTGACCTGGCCAGTGACCCTGAGTTCTCATTGGCCTGCTTTTTCTTTATTGGCTCTGGAAAGTGCAGGAAGAGTTTGAACAGCAATCGCGCTCCAGAAACTTCTAAGATGTGAGGAGACTTCAATACTCGGACGCGGACCACCCTGCCACTAATACTCCGCTACTCCATGAATGCATACGCTACCGCACTTTGGTTGCGAGTACCATTTGCATGCATCTTGCACAAGCTTCACAGATGCGGTGCTTCGCTGACACATGTTCGATGTTTTAGCAGATGGATGCAATGGGCTGCCACCATGCCACTGTGTTGGACAATCAAGAGGCCATAGGGATTGGGCAAAGCCGGGCTGTGCCTGCTCGTTGCACAAAGCAAAGAAAGAACCAAGAGCCGCAACTCTGAGTTTTTTGAGCTGCTGCAAGCCCAGATGCAGAACATTGGCATACTGACCCGAGAAAGTGACGTTGCAGAGGGTGCTGAAGTTCTGCCAGGCCTTCGCGAAGGTTGGATATGAACATGTAGTCTGCCAACACCGGCAAGACGGCTCCAGGAACGCTATGGTCCTGGCGACACCATTCCTGAGCTGAAATGAGGCTGAGAACAAGCCGGCATGCTGGTGAGCAGAGTGTATGGGCCAAGGCCTCAGGCGACAGGGTAAAGGAGCAGCTCACCTCCTTGACCCCTCCTCCCTGGCAAGCCCGACACCCGAGAAACCAGCTTCGTTGGTTTTGCGTGCCCTCGTACTGTAAGGGTTGGCTCAGAGGCCCATGGTCCCGTCAGGGGAGCCTTGAAGATTTGCCGACGCAGCCCCATGAGATGCTGTATTGCAATGCCTCTGGGCCGCCTACCTGCCGACTGAAAACAGTCGATCGAGGTATGTTGCGGTCGCCGCACCAGACACAAGGGGAGATGATGCGGCTACCGACAAAGAAAATAACATCCAAGTGCTGGCTTCTGCTGACTTTCACGCTGCGTGCTGGATCATCCACCAAAACCTAGTTGAGGTGGGCAATCGCAGTACTGCAGTCGTGACTCCGGC